GGGGGGCAAGAGAATGAAGAGTTTCTGGACTTTTCAAAGGGGTGACAGTGCCCTGTGGGTGAAGGGACACTTTTGTTGAAGCCAGATCACATTATCTCTTTCTGATGTGTTAAAAAACGTTTTTTTTCTAAATATTCCATATAGATATACTTTCTCCGTCCCAAATTATTTGTCATATTTCTATTACCGAGACAAAATATCAAGTTTTTTCAATTTATTTTATTTACATATTGGTAAAAAAATAAAAAATAAAAATTACATATCAAAAACTAAATGAAAAGTTTTTCGAAATAAGAGGTGTCAAGAATATTTTATTTTATCAAATAACCAATGAAAACGTAAAAATAAACAAAAGTTCTCGCAACGGTTGAAAAAGCATATGTGACAAATAATTTGGGATGGAGGAAGTAGTTAATATTCAGGTTCGACTCCGAGAAAAAGGAAAAAGTGATACATCTTCCGTCCAATAATAAAGTTCTCCTATCGTCTATTATTTATAGAATCAAATTTTATTTACTTTGTTTGTCTATTTTCGTGTCTTATTTGATGAAATACTATAGTTATGTTATCTCTAGTTTTATAGATCTTTTCATGTAGTTTTTAAATACATAAGTATTCCTCAAGTACCTATATCAACATCCATAAGTACAATGTTTCGCGTATATTTGCTTGAATACTCATGTTCGAGTAATTTAATACTCACTTTCAAGTAAAAGAATACTCATTTTCGAGTAACTAAATATCCATTTAGGAATATATTTGATTTTGAGAAGAAAAAAGGTATTTAGTTACTCAAAAATGTGCATACAGTTGCTTGAAAATGAGTATTCAGTTGCTCGTAAATGAATACTCATCACGGATATGTGAGAAATATCGTACAATCGGTTATACGGTATATATTGCGATCTTACTCCATATTGATCAATTTGAAATAAAAACTTAACTTCAGGTTTTTAATAATTTCCGTCGGGATTTGATTTTCTTATTTAACTTTTTACGGCTTCTAATATAACATTTTTAATCATCTGTCGATATTTATACATAAATATTTCCTCCGTCCCAAAATCTTTGCCACATTTCCTTTTTCAGCCATCACGAGAACTTTTGTTTATTTATACGTTTTTCTTGATTATTTGATAAAATAAATATTCTTGACACCTCTGATTTCAAATAATTTTTCATATAGTTTTTAAATATATAAATTTTATTTTTTATTTCTATACCAATATTTAAATAAAATAAATTTGAAAATAATGATAGTTTGCCCCGGTTTTTGAAATGTGGTAAATATTTAGCGACGAAAGGTGTATATTTCATAAAATTTTAATATTTCAAAATTATATTTCTATAGAAAACTATTGATATTTCTTGCATAACAAAAAACTAGTCCCTCTATGGTTATGTATATTTTGATAAGATGGGATGAAAAGTAATCTCTCCCATTTCAAATCAATTTCACAAAAAAAACTATAAATTTATTTATTGGAATATTTTCCTATAAGAGAGATATGAGAAGGGTAAATTTGACTATTACACATTCAAAAATAGAAATTGTAAAAGTTGATTTGAATGACAAGCACTATGTGAACCTAAGCCCTAAGGTCCACACACCACACTATTTTAGGAGTCATTCCAACTTAAAACTTAAGTATAGAGCGCTTAGTTGTAGCCAGATCAAAACTAATTCTAAATATAGCTAATCAGATAAGATTAGGTTGACCTCATCTGATCACACTTAATACAATTGGATTAGATCCAATCAAATCAGACGAATAGAATAGGCTTAGTTCTGAATTTTAAGCATATAATTTTATTCAAGAGATAAATACAATTAGATACAAGTACACCACAAATAAAGTATGGAGCTATTTCATAAAAAAGTATGGAGCAATTAGAGAAAAAACTATATGATATGGTAGACTTAAGGTCTACACTATTTTAGGTGGATTTCTATATGAAGAGAGTAAGCAAATACTCACTACTTTGATATGTATTTTTTAAAAAGAAAAACGAAAAAAATATAAAAATGTTTTTTATGTGAGAAGGTAAAAATAATGTGAATCTTAGTTCTACCAAAAAAATCAAAGAAAAAGTTTCTGTCTCATAAAACTTTTCAACTTTCGTATCTTACATGTCTCATAAAATATTGCAATTTTGCCTAAATAGACATAATTGCCCTTACTTTTCCTAAATCTAACCAAACCTACTTCAACTACCTTCTAATTTTTACTCATTTTGACATTTTCGAGTCCAACTTGTTGCAATTGTCGTTGTTTCGCCTTAATCAAACTTCCACATCTTCCTCTTCCAGAAGTCAAAACTGGAAAAATTTTTCGGGACAAAGGGAGTATACATTTTCCCTTAAATTTGAATTTCTACTGTTATGAACTTCTTCATTTTGAATTTTTTATAGCGCATCACTAGAGTCACAAACAGAAAAATTTAAAAAACTTAAAAACTTAATATTTTCAAATCCCACAAAAACAATCTCAAATAATAAAAAACCATACATTTAAATTTATAAATCACAAATTTATAAGTTTTGTGGCATTTTGTTATTCACAATACCATGCTAGTACAATTAATCCGTATGATATTTGACTGAAACTAGATTTTATTCAATTTATTCTACTCCGTACACAGTAAATGGTACATCTAACGCCCGTTTTCAATTCGATTATGACAGTTGATGGATATAATTTTATTTTAATGTTTTAAAATAATATACTCTGTAATATTTTAATATTAAATTTATTCTTATATATTTACAAATTGATCATATATTTTTATAAATAAAAGATGATATAATTCTATTATTTCTAACAAATGTTTAATGAAATTGAGTGAAAACAGAAAAAATAATTTACTTCTAAATAGAACTCATTCCGAATTTATTACATCAGTTTGACCTCACGAAATTTAAAAGAACTACTATTGAATTAGAAAAAATGAGTAGTTATAGACTTATACTCTCTCTGTCTCATTTTAAATTGCTTGTTTGCCTTTTTCTTCGTCCCAAAACAAGTTATCTGTTACTTGTTATCGTAAACTTTTAAGAGTAAAATACTTAAACTATCCCTAAAATAAGTCACTGTTCTCCACCTTATCTTTTCATCTATCGTCACCCCTCCTAAAAAGTAATGACAATTTCGAAAAATCAACTCTATTTTTCTCTTCCTTAAATATGTCCAAAACTCAAAACAGACGATTTAAAACGGTACGGAGGGAGTAGTTGATTAGAATGGAAGAAAAGAATTGTGGATCACATATCATGTTTTTATTTTATTAGAAATGTAAGGAAATGAAATATATATATTTGGAACACATTGTAAAAGAAAATGAGACAATCAATTTAGAACATAAGAAATCACTAAAATTTTAATTTTGAAATGAAGAAAGTAAATACTTTCCATAAAAAGTTGCCCAGAGGAAGTGTTTAGTACTTTGGCATCTCATTTGATCAAGAAAGTAAGTAGTGAAAGGAAGTGAAAACTAATTGTCTTTCTCTTGGGGAGGGAATTGATTCTCATTTGATGTGAGTCACATTCCACTTTCTACCCAATATTGGAAAGTGATTCCACTTTAAAAAAATATTTTTTTTCCATCTTCCATTAATTTACACATTTACTATTCTATTGTCAAACTCTAATCAATATAAAATAATAATATCATATCTTGTTTTGTAGAATTCTTTTTCTAAATCTTACTTCAATCCGCTCAAAAGATATCTTACTTAAATTTTCATATAAATTAAAAATAAGATATTTATGGAATTTACCTCTTATATTTGTCCAAGTGATAACTAGACCAAAATAATTACCACTTGAGGGGGAGTATTAGAGTTCCCACATTACAAAATAAAAAGAACACTACTGGTATATATAGAAGGGTAAAGCTCTACCTATCCGCTTAAGTTATTGGGTTAGAAAGTGGATCCTGACTTTATATAAAAGTGGTTGATTTTACCCAACACTCAGCCCACTGTTCTCGACCCGTTGGAATTTTAACAGTGTTACATTGACACCATGTAATATTCTCACCCTACTACTTACGCAGAACTCCCTTCCTCTTCGTTTATTTTTCTCATTTGAAAGAATGTGTAAAACTTTATCAGCCTCTTTTAAAATAATTTTATTTATAAATTGATATAGAAACAAAAATTACAAATTACACCATTCAAAATTACATTGAAAGTTTTGACAAAAATATTTTATTTTATGAAGTAATCAACGAAAATATGAATATTATTATAAATTTTTGAGAGACTATAATAGTAACTCAGAAGATTATTTTGCAATGAATAGAGTATATATCTAAACCTTGCGTAGAATTTAAAATCCTTTAGAAATTGTGTTTTGTATTAGCATTAGTTTTTTGGATATATATTTAATGATCTAAATTAAATTTGAAAACGTTTCATTTACACGTTGTCATCGATCTTGATAATTAATTTTTTCAAAATACTAATTAACACGAAATGCTGAAATTGTTCCTAATCGCACCACTAGCAATTACACTCTAACATCCAATCAGAACCATATCATTTTCCCAACAAGAAAAAACTATATCCCGTCCACATTAGAAAATTCCAACTTCCATTTGTACTTTAATTTTAAAACTTAAACGATGTGTGATCACAAACTTTTTAGACTAAAAAAGGACAAGGTTATAAAGACATAAACCCCCGATGTGATCCTACGACCCGAGCCCTGTTTGGGATTCCTACGGTACTTCGTTCAAAAAAATTGTGGGGTGTAATTGACGAGGGAGGAGGGGTGGGTTCGGGTCGGGCCGAGTTGGGGATATATCGGGGATATGAAACATCAATTTTTCGAACAGAGTACCGTATGGGCTTCGGGATCGAGTCATCCCATAACATTAATTTCCAATATCATAAAAGTCGTGGCGAAAAAAATATAAACACTAGTTTCTTTTTATCTTTTTAAAGAAATTGAAAAATATTTGGCCTTCAACTACACAACTCCGAAAAAAAAAGAGATGAGTATAGCAATTAAAGAACTTCCTAGTAAGAATTTAAATAGTGAAATCTCATCATATGTATTTGTCTACTTTTGTTATTTACGGAGTATTAAATAAACTGATATAGTGATGACAAATTTTTTTGTAGGTATTTTGATATAATTTTTAAATATATAAAGTTTATTTTTTAATTTTAAATATGTAATTAAATAAATTAAAATTTAAAAAATTCAATCAAATATCCTTGTAATTATGAAAATGTTTTTTCAAGAGTACGAATAAAAAAATAGGAGAAAAAAGAGGGTCAATTATTGGTTGGTGGTGCCCAAGTTTGGTGGGGGGTTTTGTTTGGTTTCGCACGTGGTGGACACCAAACTTTTGCATGTTTTTTTCATTATTTTGTATACATGCTATTGGTTGTTTTCGTTTTCCACTGTCTTTTTAAAACGAAATCTTGAAATATATATATGTATATGTGTCTGTATAGAGTATAGACACACACATATATAGTTAGATTTGTTAACTTTTTAATGTGATGTAAGAAAATGTTGAAAATTCAAAAAAGAAAAAAAAAGATATTTCAAATTTGTATAGAGAAGATAAAAAAAGTTGTGAATAGATATGATAACCGGATCAATCAATTCAATTCCGGTTTAGATCTATTCGATTCGAATTTATTTCGGATACTTTGCATGAAGAATGTATTTATTTTGGACATGGTTTAAGTTGGTTTTATAATTCTTTTGGATCAATTCGTTTGCCGTTTGGATGTATATTGGTTCAGATTCAGAACAAATGGATAAAATCTTTTAAAACTTTATGAAAAAGTATAAAATATTATTTATTGTGCAAGCAGTATGTTGTGTGATGGAAGCCTATATCTCCTCTTTATTTATAGGCTCCAATCCCTCCTCAATTTTCCTATCCCACCGATGTGGGACTTTGAAGTAACACTCAACAAATCTCCCCTTAATTCAAAGTCCTACATCATTTGCGATTTCTGCAGCGATACTCCCATCCTGCAGAATCTTCTGTCCAGCAGTACTCTTATCTTCAGAAGAGATCATCTTCATAAGTGATCACATTTGCGGAAGAAGCTTCCTCCGATTTGCCCTTCTTCTCCTTTAGGATCTGCAAGTCCTCCTTGAGTTCTGGACAACCGTTCTTCGTGTGACCCAACTTTTCACAGTAATAGCACCTAACAGTGCTCATGTCTCTCAGCTGAGATCTTCTCCAAAGTTGGTCACTCTTCTTCTTCCTCTCTTTCTCAACACTCACAACAGCTAGTAAATGACTGTCCCCGGAAGACTCTTCACCTCCCATCATCCTTTGACTCTCCTTCAAGGCAGTCGTCACCTCATCTAGCCGCAGTGTAGTCCTTCCTGCTATCATTGATTGCACAAACGGCTTAAAGGATTTTGGTAGTGAAGCCAGTAGAAGCAGCCCTTGCTCTTCATCCTTGATAGTCTCCCCTGCATTTAACAGCCTTGATACTTGCTCATTAAACTTGTTGATGTGATCAATTACGCCACCTCCCTCTTCCATCTTCAGTGAGTACAAGTCCATCCTCATCATCAACCGGTTAGTAAGTGTCTTCGACGCAAACTTGCTCTCCAACGTTTCCCACAGCTTCTTTGGTGATGTCTCTTTCAGCACAGTCACTTTAATCTGTGGGGACAGTGCCAACCGAATTGTGCTGACAGCCTTCTTCTGGATTGTACTCCACTCTGGTTCTTTCATATCACTTAGCTTCTCATCTTGCAATGCTAAATCAAGACCTTGCTGGACCAAATAGTCTTGAATCGTGCATTGCCACAGCATGAAGTCCGCTCTTCCATCAAATAACGGAACTTCAAACTTCAAGGTAGTCATAGTTCCACTCAAGCAGCAATCAACCAATACCAAACAATCCAATTTTTGAGGAAACTGGCCTCAAAAATGGAATCAGGACGTCAAAATTAGTCAGAACCAACTTCTCTCCAAAAATCACCAACGGGACCCACGCGATGATTGGACCTGCTGACGTGGCGATGGGACCCACTGATGACTAGACCTGCTGACGTGGCAATGACTGGATGATGACGTGGCACTCGAGACCCACAAGCTGCTGATGTGGCACTCACAGACCCACCTCTGCTGACTGGACCACCACCTCCTCCGCTGAAGTGGCACTCCCTCCTCTTGCTCCTTCCTCTATCTCCTTTCTCCCTAGACTGCAACTCTGTAATTAATAATTCTTTTCTGATGTGGAAGATCAGTCAAAGCTGCAACCACAGAGCATACTAAGAATTATAATTACCAGATCACCCGAGCTCTGCACCTTGGCTCCGATACCACTTGTTAGGCCCCCCTACTGCAAACAAATGGAAAGGAAAGAAAAAAAAGAGCACGCAAAATATTTAACGTGGTTCGGCACCTCAAGACCTACTCCACGACCCCCTCTGGGATAAAATCTCACTAGTAATTTTTGCACGGAAAAATTACAAACCCTCTCCAATATTTGACACTCACAACCTAAAATCTAATACAATTATATAGATTGAAGGATTGTGTTGTGTGATGGAAGCCTCTATCTCCTCTTTATTTGGGACTGCGCGTGCCCTCACCCCAACCCCGCATTAGTATGATATTGTCCGCTCTGGGCCAAGCCCTCACGGATTTGTTTTTGGGCACCTCCCAAAAGGCCTCATACTAATGGGGTTGGGTGAACCTATATATTTTGGTTCATTTACTCCTACTCATCCGGTGTGGGACTTGGAGGAATCCCAACAAACCTCCCCTCATCCAAGGACAACACAACTTCCGACCTCCCCTCCAGCGTCTCTTTATCTGCTAACCATCTTGCACCGCCGCACACTCTTTGCGGGACACGCCGCCCGACCTCCTGTCGGGAAGACTTTCGATGCAAGGCTCGAACCGCAGATCTTTTCTTCGCTGGGCTAACACCATTTGATCCGCCAAACCATCTTGTACCGCCGTGGCTATAACTTCACGGGACGCGCCGCCCGACCTCCAGAGCAGCCCTTCTGAAAGCTGTGTTCCGTGGTGGACGCCTAGGAGAAAGAACCAGAACCAGGATAACAACGTGGCAGTGTGGCTCTAAAAAGGTGTGACGTGTCAGGCGACGAGTGCGGGCGTGCTTGGACCCGAGACTATGGTGTACAACCCTGACGGCGTGCCCTCACCCCAACCCCGCATTAGTATGATATTGTCTGCTCTGGGCCAAGCCCTCACGGATTTGTTTTTGGGCACCTCCCAAAAGGCCTCATACTAATGGGGTTGGGTGAACCTATATATTTTGGTTCATTTACTCCTACTCATCTGGTGTGGGACTTGGAGGAATCCCAACACAGTATTTGTTTAAATTTAAAATAAATTTATTAATTCTATTTGGACATCTAAGACTTATTTTGGGCTAGGAAAAAAAGAATGTATCATTGTCTTAATTATAACTCCAAAAATTGTGCCGGAATTATAGGTACTCCCTCCGTTCAAAAAATATGCACAAGGCATTACAAGTTGAAATTGTAATCACTTTGTTGGCTTATTTCCGTTGTCCATTTGATAAAATAATACGAAGTATACTCATATCATTTTTAAATCTCTTTATATAGTATTTAATTATACAATTTTAATTTTTTAATTTCACATCATTTTACATATAAAATGATTTAAAAATAACTTCAGTCAAACATCATAACTTGCAACGTGATGATAATTTTTAGACAGAGGAGTAATATATTTGGAGTTGTGTGCGTGAGAGAGAGAGAGAGAGAGAGAAAATAGTGGTTAATATTCCTTTTCAAGTTGTAATTTGATTTCTCATTTGATAAATTTATATAAAATTGTTTCTCTATTATTTTCTAGAAATTTCGATATAATTATTAAATACTTCGTCCAAATTTAACCTTTTAATTTCATTTCAATTTCCAAATAAATTGATAAAGAAGTATTAATAAAAGTGAAAATATATAATTAAAACTTAGAAGAAAAAAATGATGTGAGTTCAGTGGAAAATCTCCCCATCAATTTGGATCGACATTCAACTATTCAAGACATCTAAGTTGAATGAAGTTTGACACATTCTAAAGAAAGAAAATATGGAAGGACCAAAAGTGACAATTAATTGTGGGCAAGCCAAACCAAAAAAAATCCAAACCAAATTAATCTGAACAGGTTAAGATCCCATTTGTTACACGAAATTCAAACTATAAATTTTGGAATTGAAGACTTCAATTCTAATTCTGTTATTTAGTAGCACAAAAATTATGTGGATTTTTTAATTGATAGTGCAAAAAATGAAGTGAAATTGGAGAATTCAATTCTAGGGAATTGAATCCCATGGAATTTCAGTTCCAATTCAATTTCAATTCCATCAATTTCGTATACCAAACGAACCCTAAATTTAGTTTTAATTAGGCCTTTAATAAGATGAAACACTTACACTTTGATACTCCGTATTAAAGTAATTTCAGAGAAATTCTTTACATGTTACTCATACTGTTATCAATTCAAATAAATCATCTAAAACAACCAATTACAAAAAGTGACATATAAACGGGCAACATACTATGTCACAACACCCTTTTGGATAACAAAACCAATTGTACTAAAAACAAAGCTATAAATTTTAGGGGTCAAAAAATTATCTATATGATATTTCAGGAAATTTGTCATAATTTCATTATTAGATACGATAAACGAACAACTAATTTTCGACAAACGAGAAAATGGACAAGTAAATTGGGGCAAACAAGATTGCCTCTTAAGGGAAAAAGGGTCATTGGCAAACACTCTTGAAAGAGTTGTTAGCCACAAATGAATCAAAGCATAAAAAAGAAAGTAAAACTAATCTTTGTGAGGCCCTTGAGCAAATGGCGAAAAAGAATGACAAGCCCGTTTGGCAACAACTAGAACGTTCAGCTTTAGCATTTTGAAAATGCTATATAACGGCAGCACTTAGCTTTAGCGTTTTCAAAAGCAATCTACACCATTAAGAATTTATCCAAAACGCTTGCCGGATACATTATTATAACCAAACAAGGCTTAAACCATGCACATCATCAAAGGCCAAATCATGAAGGAAAGAAAGAACAAAAAGAGCAATAAGGAGCAAAAACTTGAGCTATTGATAGAGTTAGGGAAAGTGAAGTCATTCATGTTCAAGAAAGAAGAAACCTAAGAAAACACTAAATATAGCCACCGGAAAACCCCGCCGGGGAACTTGTTTTCCTACCCCCCCACTCCCCACCCAACCCCAACAATCACGCCTACCTAAAACCGTCAAAATTGTACACACTTGTCCAGTTGTGGAACACAATCGTTTTCAAAGAATAAAATCTAGCCATATAGACGATGCTGAGTGAGGTGGGGCCCTTGTGCGAGACACCGAACGAGCTGTTTTCTTGCTGTAAGGGCAACTATGTACACACCAGTATTATATATATCCACACAATGCGAGAGCTAGAGAGAAACAAAAAACGTACCCCTCTACACCGGAAGGTTATCCAATTGGTACCCGTCAAAGACAAACTCGCTCTCAACCGGTCCCACACTTTCTTGCTGTTCACACAATCACACACACATATAAAGAATAGAAAACATTAGCGCGATGAGTTGAGAGCACAAAAATTACTCTGTCACAGAATCATTTCAGCCAAAGAGACCAAGCTTGGTGGTAGCCCAAAAAAAAGTCCTATTTGTAAACTGATTTTTTTGCATTAAAAAAATCTATTCAAAAACATATTTTGTTTTCCAAAAAAAGAAACATATTCAACCATTTCAGCGAAATGCCAAACGGATTCTTGGATATATAAACCAACATATGTAAGTTAAATAAGCAAAAGTTAAAAAATGTACGAAGTTAATATGAGTTTCTGATCTAACCTGTTTGAGGAGTGCACTCATAAGGTCATCTTGACCATACTGGTCCGCAAAAAGCGTCTCCTGAAAGTTTGTGGTATCTGGGGATCTCTCTGTCTTGATCGCCGCCGAATTCCCACCTAGCAACGAGTTGTTGAAGTGTGGGCCCGGCATTGTACTGTTCATAGGCGGCGCAGCATTTCTAGAAGCATCCATTAAGACATTCGAGTGATGACGAAGTGGGGCTGGGGCATCAACAAAACCAGATCCCACGCTTTGTATGCCACCCCAATCCTTAGGCTGGTTTTGATGCAGATGATGATGATCATTAAACATGTCATAACCATTCGAAGAAAATCCTCTAGATCCTTTGACACTCGAATTGCTACTGCTAGATATGTAACCACTGTGGTTAACCGAGAAAGTAGTCGCGGAATTGTTTATGGAGCTGCATGAATTGTCGATAATACCCCTGGGTGGTAGGCTGCCATTGGGATCACTGACGACGTGGGGCCGCGGCGGAGGTTGCGTCGTCATATGTTGCATCAGTCCCGAGTTATTGTTTTGGAGAATGTTCACACCGTTGAATGCATGTGAGGAAGAAGAGTGGTGCAAGTTGGTTAGCTGTTTCGGCTCCATCGTCGTGGGGATTCCGTGAAGCAAGTTCGGGATATGCTTGTTGCTGGTACTGTTCATGACGTGTTGTGGCGGGCCCTCTCCGAATCTCAACCTAGGGTTTTCAAAGCTAAATATATTGTTTCTTTGATGGTGATGGTGATGATGATGATCCACGAGGGGCAACGAAAGAGCCGGTTTAGTGGCATGGAATGACGCAAGGCTTTGTGCGGGTATCTGACCGGTGGCGGCTAGAGCTTGGAGTTCAAATCCGTTGAGTGTAGACATTGGCCCAAAAGGTGATTCCGGGTGTCCGCTGTATGGATGGCCCAATGCACCCTGACTACTCAGCCTCCTCAGATAAAGCCGGTATTTCTGCGAAAAACCCCCATGCCGGTAAAGTTAGTTAAGCCAGAATTGTGAGATTGCATCCCAAAATCAACTGACAACAAAAGGAGTAACTACTCTAAAGCCAAATGCCGAAGCTATCCCCAAACGGGCCCTACAAAATTAAACAAAAAACAGCTTAAAATATAAGCAAAAAGAGCATTCCGCCTACCTGAAGGTGGCTTGCAACATTTTCTCTTGTAAGCCCGGGAACATTCATCAATTCCAAAATCTTTTTAGGAACAGCCTCTGCATTTAAAGATAAAAAGGTTGTTACTTTGTATTGTAATGTAGGTTAGAGACATCATAAGACTTACTCCCTCCATTCCATATTAAATGTCTATTAACACTTTTTTGGTACATTGAAAAATGAATGAATGTAGACATAATGTATGTCTATATTCATTCATTTTTGAATGTATCAAGAAAAGTCATAATGGACAGTAAAGAATGATGACGATACGTACTGTCGATTCCCAACTGATTAACAGCTGCAACAAACTGCTGATGAAGCTCCATGGTCCAAACCACACGAGCCTTCTTCATGGCAGAGGTGTCGTCCCTTTCTTCTCCATCTTCGTCCTCATCCTTCCTTCTCTTTGAGTTTTTCCAACTCCCTTCGTTTGCCGAAGACGAGTAATCGGCTTCCTCTTGAGGTTTCTGCTGCTGCTGGCGGTCCCCACCTTCCTCGGCACTTCCTGATTGTTCCGGATTGTCCCTCTCCTTCCAGCCGTGCTTCTTCTTCCGGACCACGTGTTGCCATATGTTCTTCAAAGCCTCCATGCGGACCGGCTTTATCAGGTAATCGCACGCACCGTGCGTCACTCCCTTCATCACCACATTCTTGCTGTCGTCTGCTGACATCACTGTGGGATTCGCTATCTTCGTTAGGCTCCGTTTGGGAAGAGTGTTTGTGATTAGCATTATCAGTTCATTGACTTTGAAAAACACTAACGCTAAAACGTATTGTCAAATGGCATTTTCCAAGTGCTCAAGCTAATGTCAAATGGAAGCAAACATGTTTGGAATGTAAAACATTTTAATTAGGCAGACTTACTAATGACTGGAAGATCCATCTCAAGACCGATGTGTTCAAGAAGTTTGAACCCGTCCATATCGGGCATGTGGACATCACTTATAACAACGTCAAACCCGTTCTTGTTTTCCCGGAGCAATGATAGAGCACTCTCTGCCCTATTGCATTTGGTCACTGGAACATCAAGAAAAAAAAATCCAAAATCATATTTACAAAAAAACAAAACACTTCAAAACTGCTGAAATGTACACTTGAAAATCCTGGAAAGCACACATCCTTGGTTATATTTCAAATTTATTTGCTGACTTAACTAAAAATGACTTGTTTAACTTATTTTAAACACTATTTCCAAAAAAAACACATTAAATTGAATGAAAATGACCTTGTTTTGTAGAGAGATGACTCCTTTTTATTTGGGGACAAACAAATTTCCAAATTAAAGACATGACAATGTGTGTCTGTGTGTGTATAACTATATACCCCTAAAGTGGACTTTTTTTTTCTTGGGAGTGGATATTTTTTTGGACAGAAGGAGTAACTAATAAATAATGACATGAGAATTCGTGTGAATATATAAAACTATTACATGAACTGAATTCAATTCCAAAGAATGGTACAATTATCCTCAAATCTCACAACTTCAAATCCTGATGAAGCAATTTCTAAACAAATACTTGCTAAGATTCACTCAGAATCTCAAACCCAACACTCTGATCTCCCAAATCTTCTCAATTTTTTTCCAGATAGAGAGAGAGAAGAAGAAGAACTGTTGAATTGACTCTAGATGCAATCAAGTGGAGAAATTGGGATACCTTCATAGAGACAGGTCCTAAGCATCCTCTCCAAGATCTTGAGGCAAGTGGGATCATCGTCAACAACAAGAACCCGGAGACCCGCCGGAAAATTATCCGACACACCGTCGCCGGACTTCCAAGAAGCGTTCGAGCAAGAACCCGACATCCCTTTCCCCAATTGACCACCACCCAGATTCATTCTTCTCCCCTTCACCACTCACAGCTCATATATGTTAATAAATTCCTTACACTGATTATTGGTATGGTAAGTATATCTCCCAGAAAAGGAAACTAAAAATTAAAAAGAAAACACACAAAGACCCGAAAAAGGGAAGAAAGAAAGAAAAAAAAGAAAATTTCAGAAATTACTCAAACTCACTATTTACTCAGTTCTCAGAAATTTCCAAGAATACATCCGGACAAGAAGGGAGAGAAAAAAAAGGGAGTTTTTTTCCCTGGGATTTTACAAAAAGATACTGTGAAGTAATTATTGGTTGGAAGAAACATCCATTTATGTGTTTCTATATATGTAAAGTATATATGTGTGGGTTTAGTTCTTGGGTGCTCAAGGAAAGACGAGTTCTTCAATCTTTCTTTTCTTTTCTTTCGTTTCTTCTGGACTTTGGGTTTATTATCCTTATTTTATTTACCACTGTACTTTGTGAATAATAAATGTTTTTGTTTATGTTTTCCTTTTTATGGGTTTTTATTAAATTTGGTTAATTAATTTCTTTTGGTTCGGATTTGATAGTGGGACTCCCCCCCCATGTGGGTGGATCCAGCTCATGTATGAGTTTAGCTAGCCCCACGCCAGCCAAAATCTACTCCTCGGTCTGTTAATGACTGTCACAGTGTCACCCCTTAAATTAACCTTCTTTTCTTTGATTAAAGTTATCTATCTAATTTAGTTTAGATTAAATTCTCAAAATCGTATTCAATGATAACTATATATTTTTCTAAATTAATCTCTAAAATTTACTAATTCTCACAATGGTACTCGTAAATTGAAAATAATGTTCAGTTCAGTCACCCGATTAACGGCCGTTAAAATAACAATATAATAATGTTGCACTTTATACTACTTTTCTAAAATGGTATTTTCTAACTGGGTATTTTTTCAAATTGGTTCATTTTTGGGGAAAAATACAGTAATTATGGAAAAATATTTTAAATTCTATACGATGACAATATAATACTTAAAACTATAAGTATAATTTTATAAATTTTAAACTAAATGTTTTCGATTATTTATAATTATTTAGAAGAATAACATGCAAATAAAATGTTTAATAATCGATAAAGAAAGCACCCAGGAGTTTAAAAGTTTCCAATTATATTTCCAATTGTTAATACTTTTGGTCTTTAAATAAATGTAAAAAAATTAAATTAATACGGAAACGTTTCCAAAAATTTTTTAAATTAGTATGGAAACATCATTTTCTTTTGGTGTACCCCATTTTTCCCCCACCCCCTTCTCCACCATCCATTTTTATCAAATTTTTATTTATTTAATTTTTTTTTAAAGTTTTTGACCATTTATGTGGTGGAGGAAGGGGTGGGGGGACAAATGAGGGTGTACCCCTAGTACTTTTCTTTTCTTTTTTATCCTTTTCAAATTGACTAAAAGTTTCTAATTACTCAAAAAACCAAAATGAGATTAATATGGAAAGTGACAGTATTCTTGGTCGCTCTTTGTTTAAAAAAGAAACAAATTTATATAAAAATTGGTGGACTTATCCCTGTTTCTAGACCGTAAAAAATAGAAAGCAAAAAAAAAAAGAAACTGGCGAATCAATACACGGCTATGTAAAAAGAAAATTTAAATACAAAATCGATCATATATAAATGTTTCTTTTTTATATAAAAAAAATAATCGGCAGACCAATCCTCCGCTATGTATATAAAAAATACTCCGTAATAAATGGTGGACTATGTGCTAGGTGAATAGGCAATCCACGTCATAAAATAAAAATCAACGTGACAAGTAACTTAGCAAGTGAGGTAGCGGAAGAAATATTTGAACTGTTGGAGTGATAGTATTATTTATTAAATTTGAGAGTATTGGTAAAAAATAGTGAATTTGTTTTGTTGGAATAACGACATAAATTTTTCTAAGATCCAGGACTGTCTTCGAGGAATCAGGGACCTGACACGACATAGATAAAATGGGTCTTGTGAATAAAGTAAATCCTATCAATTATTTTTTTTAACAATAATTAAGATTACTACAATAGTAATAATAATATATCAAATTCATAGTATCATGTATGATCCCTTCACTTTGTTCATGAAATCAAGGCATGTTGTCCCTTCAAATGTAAAGGCATGTTGTCCCTAAAACAAAAAAATGTGAAGGCAAGGAAGAAGAGTTTTTTTGTGATTCTAAATTCCACATGTAAAATATAGTGTTTCTCACACTTTTTTTGATATTAATGTATTAAAGTCATAAAATATTAATGTACTAAAATCATAAAATGAGCATAAGCTTTAAGACCACATAAGAATTTGCTGAGAAGAAACCTCAATGTGTAAAATAATGGTTTCAAATTATGGTCTCAAATAATTAAAAAATTAAAACTTATATACACAAACGGCAAATTTGTATATTTTGTGAGTATTTTGTTTGTAACTCTAGTATTACTCTTTTATTTAACTTTAATTGATTTCTTGAGGATATATGCAGTAGGGAAAAGGTTAATAATTATGATTATGTTCCCAGTTTCACTTTCACACCTGAAAACATCTGTAGTAAATTACAATTAGAATCCTGTTTATATGGATACACAAAAGGCCAACATAGGAATCTTTTTAAAGAGATTCCAATACACTTCCTTCTACAAGAGCTCATTTTCTAATTCCCTGATCAACAACTCCATCATCTTCTTGTACATTGGCATGTAATGATCATTTATCATCGTCTTTGACAGCCGGAGCTTACTGTACAGATCTCTTGGTGTCTCGTAGATGCCAACACGCTCCTCCTCCGTTAAACCATCGCTGTTACCCCCTGTGTCAACTGCCACAATATGCATTATTCTCCCCGGAGGATAGAATTGGAGGTTATCCGGAAATGGTGGGACCCGTGTCTGGCTTCCTACTGCATCAAGCAGCGCCACTTTCTCCTCCTCCAAAGTGATTTCTATAGCTGCTGCTGCTGCTACAGTGGCTGCTTCTTCTTCTTCCAGTTCATGAATTGTGTCATTGTCTTGTTTCTCTAGTTGCTTCTTCAGTTCATACCATAACTCCCCTTCGGTTGAATCAACACATTTCTTCACCTCCTTGCGTGGTGTATCATCCCCATCCTCGTCGTCTGTCTCCTCCTTGTGTGGTGTTGCCTGAGTTAGAAGGGGAGACTCAGGGGGCAAATCCTCTGTTTTAGAAATTGGGGGTTGAGAAACAACACGGCGACGTGGACCGATGCATGACCATGCCGATAGAGAAGGTCTGGTGGTCTTGACCACTGCTTGTGCTACATCTTGCGCACGCCTCATCACAACCTGTAATAGTTTCATCAATATCAGAGGTTTTTGCTAAATGAGATTCGTGAGTCGTGAATAATAATGGATATAAGTGTGAAGTTCATTACTTATTTACTAAAAAAATCAATGTTTGGTTTAAAAAAATTTGGGTGATAACTAATATGTTGAGAGTGGCTACCAAACAGCCACTTTAGAGATCCCCCTCTAGCTATCATGAGTTCTTCATGCAGTGATCCAACCCAATAACATCATTTTGTACCATTCACCCACCACAACTTTTGTACTTGGATCAATGCAGATACAATTTTTCATATTTGATGTATTAATAATGGACTAAAGCTCCCGTTAAAAATGGACTAAATCAAAATGGCACATTAAACTTTCCTTCTTACTTTCTATGGAGTTTTAGATGCATCAATGGTCCCGTTAAAAATGGACTTCTTTGTTTTTTGACCCCCTAGACCACAACGTAAATCAACTTAAATACAGGTGAGTTCATAGGCTACTTTTGTAGCAATAAGTTGACAATTTTTTGGATTGAAAATTACCACTAAATTGGACATGTCTGCACATGAAAATCTTTTTCGTTAAGGAGTTGAATTCAAATTGACTGGAAGTGAAAGTGATTCAAAAGATATTGGGGCTGTGATTTGGGGGGATACAAAATTAACTCTGGAGGACTTGATGAGTAGACAAAAATAGTCAGGAGTCGTGAAATTAGCCTAAAATGAAACAAAACGACTTCATTTACTGAGGGTCTGTTTGGGTAGAGTTATCCAGAGGGGATTTGGTTGAGTTGATCTATACAGTAAAAAATTAATTTAAAAAATAAAAAAATTGAAAATATTAACATAAATAAGCGACCGCAAGCCCTCAAGTGTCTTCCCCTCCAAATCCATCCAAAATCCTTTATCCAAACATACCCTAACAGATCACACAAACATATGAATTTCTTGCCTGAGTACTGCTGGAGACTGGACGCAGAAGTGCACCTGCACCAGCAACCCTAGCTTTAGCTACAGCTATCGATGGGCCAAGTGCGGTGGCAGAGCGATAAATCACTTTTAAAACCCTATTGCGCTCCACTTGATCACGCAAATCATTAAGCCAAGATGATGATGTTACCTGGTCATAATGATTGATACCAAAACACCTCAGCAGTTGAAAATATCTTTTTATTTTAGACAAACCCAAATAAGACAACAAATCCAACATTGCAATTGATCAGTCAAGGTTGCCACACCTCTGTGCGCAGAACATCTATGGAAGAAGTTGAGAATGTAGGCACAAGATCAGCACCATTGATTATTGTGGTAATGAAGTGCTTTCCAGACTCCGCTAACTCCCATGTCATACAGGCAGCTGATAGAGATTCATAAGAACTTAGGGGGAGATTGTGAAAGTCATCTTCAAATTACTCATCTGGGACGAATCATACCTGGTGCAAATGTAACACATGTAATTGAAGATAAATCTTCTCTCTCTCGAAGGATATAGGTAAGCAGTGCAGCTGTGCCACCGCCAAGAGAGTGGCCAACAACCTAAAGTTGACAAAAAAAGGCACAGCATTAAGGTACTAGAGCAATTTCCATTCCCCTATGGAGCCAAAGATTCACTATTGTTTAGGTTCTAGCAGGTAATGAAATACTACAGAGTATTAAATAATGGTGTATTAGGAAATTTAAATTTTTTTAAAATGATCTTAATTGCTTCCTTGGTTTGTGCAAAAGTCAAAATTGTACTCTGCGAATAGGACTGGAGGGACTGGATGCACAGTGAATAGGATACATGAGCTATTAATGAATATACAGGTTCAACTGTAATAGCTACACTTCTTTTCCCTCTCAGCAATGTGAATATCCATTTAGTGAAATGGGTAAATGACAGAATATAAAATACAGAGCATGCAAATTTATCAATGAAATTTAGTGCATGTCAGTGTGTCACATGCTATTGAAAATAAATTTTCTTTTAAATTCATTTGTAGAGGGTCACAATATGATAAGAACAAATATAATATTGTATACATCAACATAGATGACCACCAAAGTGAAAAGATAGCTTGGCATGTAATCAGAAGTTGCTAGGAAAAGGACATCTAATTATTAGAAATTCATGAGTTGTTACAACTTACGAATCAATAAGG